ATTTCGCTGGCCTCCAACCCCTGTTCGAATCTCCCTTAATGCATTTTTTTTCCAGCCATCTTAACCTGTGAGGTCTTGGGTTCGATTCCCATTGACCTCACTTATTTAATATTCTTTTTAAACCCAAATTTCAACCTCTTCATAGAGTACTCAAATCTGGAAATTTCTTGTCATTATTCAACTCCTTTTTAGTCATATTGTTCATAATTTTAATTGGCTAAAAGGTGGTTATTTAATTCACTATACTTCATCATAATGAACATCACATTGTACATCCATTACACACATAAAATACACAACTTATACACCCCCAAAACAATGACTAAAACACTGCCCTATACACGCATATACATTAACTTTTCCGATCATATTTTGATGATCATTATTGTTATTTCCCGCACATAAACAAATTCGTATTTAATTTAAACACATCATTCATGTAAAAATCTAGAAGCACAACATACCCATCCTAGAAATTCGTTAGGGATCTAATGACAAGGACATACGAAGGGGAACAACCTTAGTTTCAAGAGTTTAAGAAACGTTCGAAAGAAGGTACTCTTGGAGAAAGAATTCAATAAGATAAAACCATACCTTTATTTATGTTCAAACGAAGAATTTTCTGCCCAAAACCTTCTCCAAAAATCAATCCAAGTTACCTCAACGTCCACACCACTCAACGAACAACTTCTCTTCACCTTAATGTTTTCGATTATTTATTTTTTAAAAAATTTCATGTGAGTTCTTCAAGTGTGATGAACTGTTGATGTATTCTCTGGTTTTTGTTGTGCTTGGCAAAATAACCTGAGAAAGATGGAGAACGTGAGAGAGAGAGAGTTAAGAAGCGTGAGAGAGAGAGTACTACTAGGATTAGGAGACTAAATTCAAGACTTAGTCAAATAGAATTTAAATTAAATTAATACAAATCTGGTATATTTTAATTAATACAGGAAAGGACCATTATGACCTTAAAATTTTAGATTTTTAATTAATAATTAAATCACCTTAAATACCTATTTATTTGATTTTTTTGGATCGTTAAATTATCTCTTCCTTAGCAACATTTGTCCTCGAATGACACTACCATTGCACATGTTAATGCCGATTCGAATCATAATTTAATCGCTATGTACAATCAGCCAATAGCAACAAATACGAAGAGATAAGGGACAATAGCCTTACGAGTAGGAAGTCTAACCTTAAGAGCTGAAAAGATGGGGATAGCGGGATCTCATGTCGGCCTCAGCCTCCCACGTAGCCCCCTCCACAAGATTATTTCTCCATAATACCTTCACTGTGGCAATCTCCTTGTTCCTCAGCCGCTTGACCTGTCTGTCTTAGATCTCAATAGGTACCTTCTCATAGGACAAGTCTTCACCAACCCCCAAACCTTCAACAGGTAGGATTGATGCTGGATCACCTAGGCACTTCTTCAACATAGAGACATGGAAGACTGGACGAACAGAAGCTAGCTCTGTAGGCAATGCTAACTCATAGGCCACCTCACCCACACGTTTTAGGATCTCATATGGCCCCACATACCTCGAAATCATTTTTCCTTTCCTACCAAATCTCATCACCCCTTTCATAGGCGATATCTTCAAGTAAACCTGCTCACCAACATTAAATTCTAAAGTCCGCTTTTTGTTGTCTGCATATGATTTTTGTCGGCTGTAAGCAGTGGACAACCTGTCCCTAATCATTCTAACTTTATCCAAGGCCTCATGAATGAACTCTTGACCCAAAATGGATGACTCTCCAACCTCGAACCACCCAACTGGAGATCTACACCTCCTACCATATAATGAATCAAACGGTGTCATCCCAATGCTGGAGTGATAGTTATTATTACACGAGAACTCTATCAAAGGTAGATGGTCATCCCAGTTACCTCTGAAGTCAATCACACACGCTCTCAACATGTCCTCCAATGTCTGAATGGTGTGCTCTGCCTGCCCATCTGTCTGAGGATGAAAGGCAGTGCTAAGTTTCACCTACGTGCCCAAGCTTTTCTGGAAAGATCTCTAGAAATACGAAGTAAAGTGAGATCCTCTATCTGAAATAATAGACAAAGAAATCCCATGCAATCTCACAATCACATAAATGTTCGCGTAATCCTCGGCCTTGTAAGTAGACCTCACATGGATAAAGTGGGCAGACTTAGTCAATCTGTCCACAATAACCCATATGGAATCATGCTGCCTCCTAGTCCTCGGATGACCAACCACGAAGTCCATATTAATAGCCTCCCATTTCCAAGTCGGAACCTCAATAATCTGAGTTAGACCACCAGGCTTAAGATGCTCTGCCTTAACCTTCTGACAATAAGGATATTTAGCCACATAGTCTGCAATATCCTTCTTCATGCCATCCTACCAATAAATCTGCTTAAGATCATGATACATTTTGGTGGAACCTGGATGTATGGAATATCTGGAACCATGGGCCTCTGCCACAATCTTGGCCCATAAATCATCTACATCTGGTACACACAACCGGTTCTGGTATCTAATTATGCCATCATCTCCCAAAGCGAATGACTCGTTCGTTTTTAACAACACTGAGTTCTTCAGCTCCATCAAAATAGGATCAAGATGCTGACCCTTTTTGACTTAAACTATCAGGGATGATTCAGAACTAGGGTGAACCGAAACATCTCCACTAGTAGAGTCAACCAACCGCACACCCAGTCTGGCCAGTCTATGTACCTTTTTCACTAGCTCCTTCTTCTCATCCTCAACGTGGGTTGTACTCTCCATGCTCATCCTGCTGAAAGCATCAGCCACAACATTAGACTTACCTGGATGGTAGTGCACATTCATATCATAATCCTTCAACAGCTCCAACCATCTGCATTGACGTAGATTCAACTCCCTTTATGTGAACACGTACTGGAGACTCTTATTATTCGTGAACACATCTACATGCACTCCATACAGATATTGCCTCCACAGCTTCAATGCAAACACCGCAGCTGCCAACTCTAAGTCATGCGTGGGATAATTCTTTTCATGAACCTTGAGTTGTCTGGAAGCATAGGCTATCACCTTACCAGCCTGCATAAAACACATCCCAAAAACAACCCTAGATGCATCACAATAGACAGTGTAATTCTCGCCACTCTTAGGCAGAGTAAGCACCGGGGCTAAAGTGAGTCTGTCCTTGAGCTCCTGGAAACTCTTCTCACAAGTCTCCGTCCATTCAAACTTGGATTTCTTCTTTGTCAAGGCTGTAAGTGGGGCAGCAATGGAAGAAAATCCCTCCACAAACCTGCGGTAGTAACCAGCCAATCCCTGAAAGCTACGGATGTCGGTGGGAGTAAGAGTCTTTGGCCAGTTCTTAACAGCTTCGGTCTTTCTGTGGTCCACTTCTACACCTTGTTCGGACACAACATGGCTCAGGAAGGTCACTGATCTCAACCAGAATTTACACTTGTTGAATTTGGCATACAACTGATGTTGTCTAAGTATCTGCAAGGTTAGTCTCAAATGTTGTTCATGCTCTTCCTTGGTCTTAGAGTAGATGGGAATGTCATCAATGAATACTATGATGAAAGAGTCAAGGTATTCACGGAAGACTCTGTTATGAGATCCATAAATGCAGTAGGTGCATTCGTGAGACCAAATGACATAACCAAGAACTCATAATGACCATAATGGGTACGAAAAGCTGTTTTTGGTACATCCTCATCGCTAACCCTAAGCTGATGATACCCTGAACGAAGATCAATCTTAGAGAATAAACTAGACCCTTAAAGTTGATCGAACAAATCATCAATTCTGGGAAGTGGATACTTATTCTTTATAGCGACTTTGTTGAGATGCCGATAATAGATACACATTCTAAGGGTCCCATCTTTCTTCTTTAAAAATAACACTGGAGCGCCCCAAGGGGATATGCTCGGCTGAATGAAACCCTAACAGTGAGATCTTTTAATTGCAGCTTCAACTCTTTGAGTTCTGCTGGAGCCATTCTATAAGGAGAAATTAAGATTGGTTTCGTATTAGGTTCTAAGTTGATACCAAAGTCAATATCTCGAGGGGGATGGACTCCAGGAAAATCTTCAGGAAACACATCTAGGAATTCATTTACTACAGGCACCGAGTCTATGGAAGGAACGTCATGATCTAAATCATTAACACTCACAAGATGACATAGTAACCCCTTGGCCATCATTTTATTGCCTTAAGATTTGAAATCAAGGGGTTAGGACGATTTGGATTGTACCCTTCCCAGACTAACTCTTCTTCATTAGGGAAGCGAAACCTCACCACTCTACTACGACAGTCCAAGCAATCATTATAACTGTGAATCCAGTCCATGCCAAGAATAATATCAAAATCATGCATGGGTAGCTCAATCAAGTTTGCACACATAGTCTTGCAACTCAAAACTATTGGGCAATTCTTGGATACCTTATCTGTTCTTGCATTTTATTCTAAAGGCGTACTAACCACTATATAATTATGCAGATTTTTAGGTAGTATTTCAAAAGTAAGGTCAAGCAGAGGAGTCACAAAGGAAAGTGTAGACCCTAGATCAAGTAAAGCATAAACAGAAGTTGAGAATACTTGCAGCATACCTGTGACCACATCACTGGACTTCTCCTGCTCCTCCCTGCCTTTTAGGGCATAAAATATGTTCCTCATGGGAGGCTCGATTGTTGCTGCACTCTGTGGGGTAGGCCTAGGCTGAGCATTACCTCCATCCTGACCTCTATTCTGGGGACAGTCTCTCACCATGTGTTTACTCTTACCACAACCGAAGCAGGCATTGGTGCCTCGTCTGCATTCTCTACTGTGAGCTCGTCCACACTTATCACAAGTCTTCTTAGGACGCTGCATCTCACCTCCATTGCCCCTCTTGGGTTCGGGTCTGCCTCCACTAGGTGTTGTATTTTTTTGAGGGTTAGAATTCCAAGAACTCTGTTGCCCCATCTTGAATTTGGGTTGCTCACGGACGCCAAAATTGTTTCTATGGCCTCCATGTCTGGGATATGCCTAATCTTGAGGCCTAGGCCTCCTAATATCATGAACACCTCTCCTCTTGTGGTTTTCCTTTACCTGTTGGACATGCACCATTAACCTAGAAAGGTCCATATTATCATGGAGTATCACAAACCGACACTCCTCCTCCAGGTCTCCATTGATTTCTGTAAGGAACCTGCTCATCTCATCCCAGCTGTTCGAAACTAGGGAAGTAGCATACCTGGATAATTTCAACAAAGCTAAGTACTCTCCTCATTCTTGCTATTAAATATCAAGGGAAGTAACATACCTGGATAGCTTCACAAACTTCAGGGAATACTCCTTAACCGTCATAGATCCTTGTTTAAGGTTGATGAACTCCTCAACCTCGGCCTCTTTCATCTCTCTAGGGAAGAATCTTTCTAAAAATGTTATCTTGAACAACTCCCATGTGACTGGCGCTTTACCTAGGACACTACTATCTTGCCACATCTTGCACCAAGTTTGTGCAACATCCTTGAGCTGGTAGGAAGCCAGCTCATCCTTCTTAATATTAGTTGCCCTCATGGACACCAGGATCTTATGCACCTCATCTATAAACTCCTGAGTATCCTCTGAAGTCTTAGCCCCTGTGAATATAGGAGGATTAATCCTCGTGAAATCTCGCAGTTTGTCAGCCATGCTGCGAACTGGTGGGTTCTCCCTCTGAACATCCTGCCAGTTGACTTGGGCAGTCATATCCTGGGCCTGCATCATGATAGCCTGTGCCATCTAGGCTAGACATTCCCTCATCTCCGCATTAGTAAACCCAACTGGGTTAACCGACATGGACACTCCTTCACTTAGAGCCAGGGGTGGATTCTAAATACCCCTAGCTGTTGCTGCTCCCGTCCTCAGACCCTTAGTCCTTCAAGTGTTCATTCTCTAAAAACAACAAGGATTGATGTTAGACATGTTCATAACACCAAGAATTCAAACATTAGCTTAAGCACGATAAGATTAGAAGAAGGAAAATTTTTTTCTACGCATCATGCAGTCTCTAATCCAGGATATTGGTGCACTTCACTACCATGACTTAGAAACTACTCAATGTGGTTGATGTGAACTCATTATTCTCGAAATTTAACCTAGCGCTCTGATACCAATGTTGTCACGACTGGAATCTAGACCCCAGACGAGACCGGCATCATTGACCTCTCAGAGGTCGCAAACAAGCCTACTTACGTCATTCTTACTTTACATAGGTTAATTTTTAGCCGAAAATTTGAATTTTTTTTCTATTCTTTAATTATACTTGCTAAACATTCTTTATATTTCGTAATCGTTCATCATCAACCATCTAACATTTAAGAGATAAGCAACTGAAAGAAATAATTCATTAAGTATTAATTATATATCGGCTAAAATAGCACCAACACAAAGTCTGAACCAAAACAGGAAAGAAACGCTAGTGGAACACACCCTACTAGCTCAACTCTAAAACTACGCTAGAGTGTAAATCAGTAGCATCCTCGAAAGCATGAGAACCTACCAAACTACGGATGAATGCTGACGTCCGGATAGCTGCAACAACGAACCTGTAGCTCTACCGTCCACCTGTGCCTGCACCTAAAAGTAGATGTTTGTATGGAATTAGTACACACTTGTACTAAGTATGGGTATATGCAAGCACACATCAGGGACATGCATGGGAAAGAATATCTCTTTCCTAACAACTTGATTTTTGGAAGTCAAGTCCGTGGACTTGCCAAATTGAGATTGGGAAAGTTATGCCATGAGAGTGACATGCATCCTTATAGTTATTAAATGCACACAACACATAACGTCTGCATATAGCACATAACATATGACACATAGCTTATTCCATATTATTCATTCATATGCCATGAGACCTTGTTATCATGGACATGACCTTAAGACTTTCCAAAATGAGGGCTCAACATATGGGACCTCAACTAGGGAGCCTTCTTTAGCAAACACAGAGTCTGCTTCACTCATTCATACGTACCTCATTTTAGTTCATTCATAGGCCAGTGTGAACACCAACTATACCTAGGAATAACCTAATGTCATTACCTGAATCTAGCTCACCTCTTGATTATCCTATCCTAAAACCTTCGGTATCATTCATTTCTTTATATGATTCATTTGAGGCTGACCTTATTCATTCATTGGGAACATTAACTTTAACCGACATAGATCATGTGAGCATCATGAAATCCACTGTCTACCCCACACCGAAAAGAGGTGGAATCCTCGGTCAAAGTGACTCAATAACATGCTAGAGTATATGGGAATTCAACCCCGCCAGATCCCTATAGTGGCAATATAGGTTCAAAGACTAGGAGATGTATGGAGACCCATACCCGGAAAGCCGGACAGTCTCATCTCATTAAAGTTATGTGAACCTCCGCCCTTCCCGAAAGAAGGCATCACCGCTCATAGCTAGCCTATCGATTCTCAGTATAAAGTTCCATAACATTAAACTCATACATCATGGAAGCTGTCTTCTAGTATGAGGACATCACATCTCAATAGATGATTTCTCATCTAATCATTAGTATTGAGTGTTTTAAACTCAATATTTTCATTAGAGTGTTCATAGAGACTGATCTATTCATCATCTTACACTCTCCTTGGTGAGTACGTATTAATAAAATTTACTTAGGCTCATTTGGGATTGCTGTCATCATATACATTAGCCTCACATCATGATTGTCACCACATTCTTCATTATTAGCACCTTTATTTTTCTTAGTTACTCACCTTTTATTATGTGAATGTTCATTTCTTTATTTTATAACGTATATCTTAGGTTCACTTATTTTTGAACGTATGTTAAACTTATGTGTCTATACATACAAGCCATAGGGCTTCATTTATAGTTCGTTAAGTGATTCTTACTTTCCTAAGATTATGCATTACAAGACTTATGTATTTTGTATATATGCCAAGATCTTGATTTATTATCTAAGTAGATGGTATTATTCTTAAATATTTTACTCACGTATGACTTATGTATCAATACGGAGGTTTGGGCACGGGAACCCAAATCTTGAATCATTTGGATATTATTTATATTTTTCATTGATTTTATTTCTAATATTCATAACATTCGAAATCTAAATTGAATCTCAACACTTTCATGACAAAATTAAATTTCTATTTTTAATTAGAATTCTAAATTAAATCTCAATCATTTACATGAAAGAGTAATTTTCTATTTTAATTAAAATTCTTATTTAAATCTCAATATTTACATGAAAGAATTAATTTTCTACTTTAATTAGAATTCTAATTTAAATCTCAATATTTACATGAAAGAATTAATTTTCTATTTTAATTAGAATTCTAATTTAAATCTTTTTTTTATTTTTGAATTAAATTCGCTTGAATAGGGAGTTTGTGGGTTCGAACCTCCACAGCCCCCCTTATTTTTCAGTTAATTTTGCTGAGGAGGAGGCTGTGAGGTGGTGGGTTCGAACCCCCATAGCCCCTCTTTCTTTAATTTATTTAAATGGGGTGACTGCAATGATGTTGTGGGATCGAATTCCCCACAGCCTCATTTTTTTTAAGTTTTGCCTACTCTTTTGCCTTGAGGTCGTGGAATCGATTCTCACGCCTCGCGTTTCTTTTTTTTTTTATTTCGCAAACTAGGGGTCGTGGGTTCGATTCTCGCCCCCAGCCCCCCTTTTCCTTTCCTTTTTCGCGAATTGGGAATCGTGGATTCGATCCCCTCTCCCAACCCCCATTTTCTTTTATTTACTTATGTAACAGGGACAAGGTTTCGATTCCCCCTAGCCTCGCTTCCTTTTTTTTTTTTATAATTTCACTGGCCTCCAACCCCAGTTCGAATCCCCTTAACGCGTTCTTTTTGTTTTTCTAGTCATCTTAACCTGTGAGGTCTTGGGTTCAATTCCCATTGACCTCACTGATTTAATATTCTTTTTAAAAACCCATATTTCAACCTTTTCATTGATTACTCAAATCTGGAAATTTCTTGTCATTATTCAACTCACTTTTAGTCAAATTGTTCATAAGTTTAATTGGCTAAAAGATGGTTATTCAATTTACTATTCTTCATCATAATGAACATCACATTGTACACCCATTACACACATAAAATACACAATAAATACACAACTTATAAACCCCCAAAACAGTGAATAAAACACTGCCCTATACATGCATATACATTAACTTTTTCGATCATATTTTGATGATCATTATCGTTATTTCCCCCGCATAAACACATTCGTATTTAATTTAAACACATCATTCATGCAGAAATCTAGCAGCACAACATACCCATCCTACAAATTCGTTAGGGAGATAAGGACAATGACATACAAAAGGGAACAACCTTAGTTTCAAGAGTTTAAGAAACATTATAAAGAAATTACTCTTGGAGAAAGAATTCCATGAGAGAAACCCATACATTTATTGATGTTCAAACGAACAATTTTCTGCCCAAAACTCTCTCCAAAAATCAGTCCAAGTTACCTCAACGTCCACACAACTCAACGAACAACTTCTCTTCGCCTTAATGTTTTTGGTTGTTTTTTTTAAAAAATAAAATTTTATGTGAGTTCTTCAAGTGTGTTGATGTATTCTTTGGTTTTTGTTGTCCTTGGTAGAATAACGTGAGAAAGATGGAGAACGTGGGAGAAAGAGTTAAGAAGCGTGAGAGAGAGAACTATTAGGATTAGGAGACTAAATTCAAGACTTATTCAAATAGAATTTAAATTAAATTAATAGAAATCGGGTTTATTTTAATTATTACGTGAAAGGACCATTATGCCCTTAAAATTTTAGAATTTTAATTAATAATTAAATCACCTTAAGTACCTATTTATTTGATTTATTTTTCTTTTTTTTTGGATCGTTACACTAAAAGTATTCTTCAAAAATTTAAAATGATGGATTGCAGGTCTGTGGACATACCATTAGCAGCAAATGAGAAGTTTAGAAAATATGATGGAGAAAAGAAAGTTAATAGCTCACTTTATAGGAGTTTGATTGGGTGTTTGCTATATCTTACTTCAACAAGGCCAGATATATATGTTTGCTGCTAGTTTATTATCCAGATTCATGCAAGAACCAAGTCCAGTGCATTTTGGAGCTTCAAAGCGTGTATACGTTACTTGCAAGGAACAATGGATTATGGCATAATGTACATATTTGGTGGGGATTTGAACTTAATTAGTTATTTTGATAGTGATTGGGCTGGAAGTATAGATGACATGAAGAGTACTTCTGGTTATGCTTTCTTATTTGGATCAAGTATTTGTTCTTGGTTATCAAAAAAGCAAAGTGTTGTTGCTCAATCCACTGCCGAAGCAGAATATATTTCAACATCCAAGGCTACTTCTCAAGTTATTGCCGAAGAAGAATATGTTTCAACATCCCAGGCTACTTCTCAAGCTATTTTGCTTAGGAAAATATTTGAAGACATTAGTGAAAAAAAAAAAGGACTGTTCTGTATTGTAATAACAAATCAACAATTGCAATTTCCAATAATCCAGTCAGCCATGAAAGATCAAAGCATATTTCCATCAACTACCATTTTATCAGAGACACACAAGAGAAAGGCAAAATTCAGTTGCATTATTGTCAGACACGAGAACAACTTGCTGACATCTTCACCAAAACATTTCCTAGAGAAAAATTTTGCCATCTTCGAGAACACATTGGAGTTATCAAGCAAATGAACTAAGGGGGAGTGTTGCACTTAATGAATCAATAATTAGTATTCCAAAATTGTCTCTTAG